TTGTACAAGCCTGGTCCAGCACATGTTGTGCCAGATACGCTAAGTAGAAATATAGCGGCAGTTCAAATTAATGAAAACATTGAAACCATTCCATCAGATAAAATGAGAGAATACCAGATGAGCGAGCCTAGATGGAAAGAGATTATTGAGTATTTAGAGGGAGGAAAATACCCCAAAAAGAAAAAGAATTTACCTATACATGATTTTGAAATGAAACAGGGCGTCCTGTATTATGTTAATAGCCAGAATGATAGGGCAGTATTTCAGCTAGTTATTCCGGACGCGTTGCGGTCATCAGCGTTAAAGCTTGCGCATGCTTCAAAAATTGCAGGGCATCCGGGGATCTTTAAAACGCACTTAAAAGCAAAGTCTCTATTTTATTTTCCAGGATTACTTTCTGAGGTAATCAATTTCGTGAAGTCGTGCCCTCGTTGCCAGAGGAGGAAAGGTACCCTTAAGGTACAAGCCCCACTTCAGGAATTTCCTGAAATTCGTGAACCGTTAGATCGTGTGGGGGCCGATCTGATTGATTTACACCACAGTCATGCGGGTAACAGATACGTGTTGGTGCTAGTTGACCATCTGTCTAGATACACTACACTAGTTGCATTACCTCAGAAGGATTCTCGTACGGTTGCAGATGCGTTCTTGCGTAGGTTCGTTACTGTATTCGGACCTCCTAAAGTTTTAGTCTCTGACCGGGGTCAAGAATTCAATGGGAATATATTTAGAGAAGTTTGTAAGATTTTAGAGACAACTTCGGCTTTTACAACGGCCTACCACCCACAAGCAAACGGAATGACGGAACGGACTAATCGTTCAGTCAAGGATATACTTGCAATCCTTGCTGAACATGATGCAAACACCTGGGATGAACACCTACCCTATGTTCAGTTCGCCTTGAATACTGCCATTCACCAATCAATTAACACCCAACCACTTCATTTGTTTACTGGTAATTCATGCAATTTCCCCTCAGGTCTGCTTAACAGACATAATGTTGCATACGGGGAGGACTATCCTTCAGAGGTCCTTGGAAAAATGAGAAATGCATGGAATATTGCAGCTGAAGCGTCCAAGAAGGCACGGACTCGGTATGCTCATTTTTATGACAAGAAAGTGCGCCCTCTTGAGTTGAAGGAAGGAAGCCTCGTATTGAGAGTGAATGAGGCTGCGCCCGCCAATCAGAGCAGGAAACTAGCTCCGAGGTGGCGAGGACCCTATAGAGTAATTAAAAGGGCGGGGCCGGTTAATCTTGTTATAAAAGGAGTGTTCGAGGACCAGGTGGAAAGGACAATTCACGTGAATAAATTGAAACATTATCATGCTAGAGAGGAATTAGAACTGCCTTCAGCGGGTCTAGTTCCTGACTCAGCAGTGCTGACTCATGGCTTCACCGACGAGTCAGAAGATGAGGATGACCCTCTGTCATCGCTCATCAGTAGTCAGGTGCAGTCTCGCCACCCTATGGTGACGAGATCTCGCGCTATACAGTAAAATAACTTCCTTGGTTAGTATAATTTAGTGTTCATTAGATTTTCCTGTAAAGGCAATGAGATGTACTATGTCTATACTTGACTCAGGTAGCAACTTTTACCGTGCTCTGGGGTTCCACCTCCACCAAACCCAGAGTATATCTATGCTTCCGCTGTGTTGTGTCTGTCTGTTCCCAGGTCTGATTGGTACACCGACCCAGTTGTTCCAGCCACACGTGAACCCTTGTCTGTAAAGACCGAGGGGGGAGGCACGTTACACAAAGCCCTCCCCCCACTAGACCCAGTAACCCATACATCAGTTACTGTGGGGAGGAGTGACTGTCCAAGAGTCACCCGGCCGACGCCTCACGTCACTAACGAGGTTGTCAGGGCCAGCGAGCTGTCCACATTATAGCAGTCACCGGAGGTGCCATACAACGCCGGGGTAGCTGTCTCGAGATCACCAATACCCACCTGCTGCGTCATCAAGACTGCAGTCATTCCAGCAGTGTTGGAGGAGAGGTCAAGAAATGGAAAGCACGTAGCAGTACTCAAGAATTTCGCCGGAAGATTAATGATTACGTCATCTGAAGTAACAAGAAAGCAGAAGTAAGGCGGTCACAGGTGGAAGGCACGGTTTCCCTACAGAGTACCGGGACTCGCCAATAGAAGGTCGCAAAATTGTCTCCTTTGGCCTAAAGTCGGCAGTACGAGGGTATGCACAGTTGGTGTTTACGGCCTAGTAACCTGGTGACATCAAGAAACGCCTGAGATGACGTGAGCAATGATGGAAGACGAGATTCACCTGTTCTGCAAACAAGCAACCCGCCTCTACGACCTTCTGACACCACTCCTGCTAAGAGACACCGTTGGTACATCCAGTCCTGCTCTGCTGTGGTCATCTGCGACAAGTTTAACATCAAGACTACCGTGTGAACTGTGATTAATACGAAGGCGTGTGGACTGTCGAGAGCAAGATTAATGGCCGAAGTAACAGTATTCTACAGCTGTCACTTGGCACTCCGCTCTACTACACTCTGTCGTCATTCAAGAGTACCGGATGGGAGTACAAGAGGACCAGGTATTGATGTCTACACATGAGAAGAAGCAAGATCGACACCGTCATCGTCAGCGACTACATTCAGCATCCAGCAGCATCGATTTTTTTTTATCGCTTACTCAATATGAACAATTGATACAAACAACAAAGTGGCTCTGAACATCTGTGTAAAGAACATCTGGACACTTTTGTTTAAATGTTGAAAAACAGAGTTAGAATCAATTCTTTATAAATGTTGAAAAACAGATTTAAAATAATTCTGGTATAATATATGAAATTTAACTATAAATTGGTCAGTAATCAAAATCGAAGCCCCTGTGTAATTGTCTCAGCCCAGAACAAACGGTTATGGAAAATTATGTTGTGCTATTTTTTTCAGAATGTTTGAACACAGGAGAGGCGGACCAATATAAACATTGACACTTCTAGTGAGTGAGAACACTTGGCTGTGCAGTCAGCTGAAACCTGTGATATAGTATAGGAATTTTTTTTTTTAGATATATGTAATAAACGTTAGGTGTGTTCCTTAACATGTCAAGGTTGACATTGATGGGGAGTGGTTAGTACACGGATGTGAACTTGATAGTTCCGTAGTACGCTCCCGGATGACTGAAAGTTCAGTCTGATGATATAACTTTAATGTTTGTTTGAGCACGGTGTGGCCGGCTCTAGAGGACACATGGACTTGGCTAGTGAAGAGCCAAGAGAGTTTAATAGCTAGTTTTTGATGGTAGAGTAGGGACATGTTATTTAGCTATGTCAGTAAGGATAGGATGTATGTTTCCTGATATTGGAGGATTGCTGTCAGTTGACAGCTGAGAAATTTATGAAATATGAACATGTTCATTATGATGTTGGACTATTATGTGTCAAATTTTATTAGTTAGGTTAGCTTTTGTTTGTGGCATGAGTTGAATTGTGGGTTTGGATACTAAACCTCGTGAATTTTAACAAATTAACAAGGTTTACTAAGTGCTTGTGCGGGGGGGTTGTAACAAACTAGGCTGTTGTAAGAATTATCCAGAGGGGTTTATCGACAAAAGAGAATGGGAAGCTGAGCCGCATGGTGACCTGACCCCCAGGGGAATTCGCGGTGGAAATAACCGACGCTTTGTTCATATCTGCGTAAATGAATCATCCTATAGTATTCAGTAAATTAGAGAAAATTAGCCTTTATTCATTTTGCATTAAAATTGGATTGTATAATAGTACTGGATACAATATCAAGAGTATTCTAATTATTGAGTTTAAGTCACCATCAGTGACGTCACGAATCGGATCTAACTTTTAAGGCGGAGTGACCGGCGGTCATAGGTCAGCAGGGTTGACATGTCTAATATTTCTCAAAGTTTTAATAACCATTTTTGTGATCGGGAACAGCTCTGCCGTTAGATGTTTGTAATTTAATTCAGTAAAATAATTCAACCAGTCTGGATCAATTAAGTACAACAGAGGTTAATTGTTATAACTTAAACCTGGCTAGGAACTGGGTAGAACTTTGACTAGGCGGAAGGATACAAGGTTCTAGTCTGGGCTAGGCCAGACGAGGACAAAGATCAGTGTGAATACGGGAGCAGCTGGGAGAGGTCAAACATCTTACCTCTCCCCAAGACCACCCAACACCTAGAGCTGTGGTCGCCCAAGGTATAGTTGCTATGGTTATGTATAGAAATAGTCTTCTCATTTGCCATTCAGGTCAAGTAGGGAGTGTTAAAGTGATAGGGAGTGAACCTATTTAGATTTTGTCTTAGTTTTCTTTTAATAAATTAAATTTGTTATTAATTTGCATTTTATTGTTTCCATGTGTTTTGTGTGTATACTTGTCCTGGTCACGTGGTCCACACGAGGCAGAGTTGCATTGGGCGCCGATTCTAACATCGAATCGGAATTATCATTACCGTGTAATTTATTCCACACTCAAGGTCATCGTTTATAGTGGGGATCAAGCCCCTAGGTTGATTAATTAGCGTGATCGATCCAGACCTCGATCATTGCTCTTGTATTACTGGTCTGGTGGTGGCAGCAGAGGTGACTCTAGGGTTTTGTGCAGAGCTTAGGTCACGTCATACTGGGTGTAGAATCCTAAGTCGGTCAATCGTCTTAGGACCACGTGGCGTGGAGTTGGCTTTGGTAAAAGTTTTGGGGTCCCTTGGTTTAGAAATAATAAGTAAGAATACGGGTAGAGGGAGTAGAAAGAAGGAAGTAAAGAGAGGAACCTAAACCCGTGTTACACTTGTATGATCCTACAGGGATGCTTGAAAAGATCCCCGCAGCACCGATGCCTCAATATTATCCTGAGTGACAGTCCATGAATCCAGACTATGAAAAAGGGGATTCATATTTTAGGGCATAATCTATTGATTATAATCATAAAATGGCTCTGCCATTTGAGGGCATAATCAAAAGGTGTTTTTCATACTGACTTGTGACTTACTTTTCATTCAAAAAACAAAATTTGCCCTTACCTTGGGAATTCTCCTTCTACACGGCAGACATATTCTTTTGTCACCTGGCGTGTCCGGATCTGTTGTTCCATCTCACGGGCCTTTTTAGGTGTCCGTCCGAACAGCAAGAGGCCTGGAGGACACTTGTATGTTTAGTTATCATGCATCAGCACTGAAGCACAGTACTGTATGTATAGTGAAATGTCTTTATACACCTTTAGGGCAAGACTGGCACCAGCACACTAGGTGGTCAGCATTTATTAGAGCAATTAGGAAGTACAGTACCATAATATAAATTGTTTAATTCTGATAATATTCAATACCCCAGCAAAGAAGAAAAGAAATGATTACCATTACTGTATTAAATTTATTATGGAAAGTCAAAGATTCACCAATATGCATATACCGTACTGTCTAATTCAGAAAAAGAACTTCAATATTCTTCAGGTAAATTCCAGGGGTACTGTACTATACTTGGTTTATCAGAATTAAAATAGAACATTTGTACTCTAGTAATGGCAATATTTAGGTATTCCATTCAATTCTGGAATTACACATGTTTACAGAGACAACAAACCAGCACATGTAGCAGCCTGGAAGCCAAGTAAAATGGGTCACAACACGCACACACAATCAAACACCAGTTAGCACCCGCCACTAACTGAGGGCTTATGGTAGCTGCCCATATTATAAATAACATCATCAACCACTCTTGTATAGAGGTCCCATTCTCCAGATGCATCAGGGGTACAGTTGTATATATACCATGCATCTACTAAAGATTTAACTGTAATCTTAAATACAGAATATTTACAATGTGAGAAGGTGCACTATCAGTTCTGTAAAAAATTATTTATATTAATTACAGAGTACAAACTGAACACTGTAAAATGTATCATTCGGTGTATTCACACAATGAAGAATATCATTTAAGTCTGAAAAATTGGATTATTACTTCTGGGTTTCTAATGAATCATTTTCTCATTAATGACATTAATGTATTATGTTGAGATCTGAATAACTCAAAAATTAAAACAATACTGTATTGTATTGTATTAAACAAAGTCTCCAGGTTACCTCTGGCAGGAATTATGAGGTTGGTAGAGTGTATACAGTATAATGTTCATCGTTCAGTACCATGCAAAAACCGTACATGGTGAATGCATCAATAGCCTGAAATAGATTATAAATTACTGCTCAGAACATAACAGACAGCCACTGTTATTCAGCATTAATAGACGAGGGCATAATTTAGTGTTTTACATTCAAACTGCTGGTCCTTGTTTATACTTACTGTAGTAGGATGACATTGTACAGTATACGAATCCACACCGAGTTCTCCACATTTTGGATATGTATGAAAACCCACACCCACCCACATACACCCACATCCACTCAAACATAAACAAAATTAGAATATGCAGCAGTTGTATGGTGTCCATATCTCAAGAATCACATCAATAAATTAGAAACTGTGCAAAGACAACTAAATGGATTAAAAAAAAAATTTAATGCAGTGAAATGCTTCTTTCTAGTGGGTCCTTGGTGACTCCCTGGTGCTTGCTGCCTAGCAACGTCTTCCCAATTTGATCCACATCAGGCCCTCACAAGTCGTACAAGCCTACCAGAGCCCAGAGGCCAAAACCTAGCCCCCCCTCTAAAGATGCACAGGGGTCATAGAACACCCTAATCAAGAAAAGCCCACCAAAAAAAGTGAACAAATAAAAAAACATACAAATAGCAAGGTAAAGGATCTACAGAATATTTGAAAGGAAATTCACGAGATTCTGAGATTCACAAACCACTTAGTGGTGAACAGTTCTCCAGTTAGTGGAGTGGAGAGAGAGACCAGTGGACTGACTGCTCGACTTTCTCCTTGATCCACCAACACTGAAACCTCGGTTATTTAGCCAGAAAGACATATAAACAAAGCCCTTGAATAGAAAAGGGGGAGGGGATGGGGTCCCAGGGAGCCACCAAATATCCATCCGAAAGAGGAATTTATTGCATTCAACGCCAGTTTTCTGTGATGACTCCCCCCTTATTGAAGACTCCTTGGTCCTGTCACTATGGAGAAAAACAAAAGCAGGTACTCACCAGGAGCGAAGGAGAGCTGCAAATAGTAACCCTCATGAGAGAGTTAGTGATGAGTTAATTACCTCAAAACTACACAAGACTAGCCCGGATCGAGAACATTCACCAAGTAATGAGCCACTAACACTCCGTTGAGCCACCAATAACCCAAGCCTAAAACATATTCAAACATCCATGGGAAGAGCCACAAACCAACAAATGTCATGGACCCAATGGTAGAATGCAGGCTGGCTAAACATGACAATGCAAACAGTCTGAGACAAAAATAGGTCTTGGAACATGGAACTAGACACACCAGATCCACAGAGAATCCTCCCCCCCTTCCACAGGTGGTGGAGAGGTTGGCCGCAACTAGACATAATAAATGATGCACCCTGGTCGAACCAACCAAGCACCAATCACTAAAGGATTCCTCTGGAAACTAGTCGCCTCATTCTTAGCCACAGAGGAAGGTGGCTGCAAGTGAAAAAAAACTACCCCAGGACCAAAAGAGCAAAACCTCCCTGCTTTCACAGCAGAGCAGAGCATGAAGCTCCCCAACCCAACAACTGCATGTGAGGTCAACAAAACAAAGCCTTGAAGAAACAGTCGTGACCGGATGGGACAACAGAAAATAATAAACAGCGTTTAATGTAATGAAACGTCATTTTCTAGGCAAGTCCCAGAGGCTTCCCGGAGCTATCCAGGCTGATATGATTATCCCTAACTTTGGCACCAGTCGATGTGGATGGAGTTCTAGGCCTACCGGGGAGCACAGAGCCAGAATCTGGCTCCCTCAGAGAGGCACACCCATCCCTTAAAAGTGACCCAAGCAATGCGGACTATGAATCACTGAGGTTTGTGAAAGCAAGGAAGGTGTAGTTAATAGTTAATAGTAGTTAATTTTTGAGCTGATATTATGGTAATGTTATCTATAAGATGGGTGTCATATCTTTGGACAGGGATGCAATTTGAATCAGTGCTTGCCAAAGGTGCTATTTTCAATAGATACCGAGAGGCATCTTTTGAAGCCCCTGTCTAGAGGCCTTAAATGCACCAAAGCTGGAGGATAGAAGAAAAATTACATGATATGTTCACCACGTACAAAATAATAATGGGAATCAACACAAATAGCAAGGAGGAATTTTCAAAACCTGTAACTTCAAGAACAAGATGCCATAAATTCAATGTAAGAAAACCAGATGTGCCAAAAAGAATTAGAAAGTTCTCTTTTGCAGAGTTGTAGATGACTGGATCAATTTTAGCGAGAAGGTAGTGAATGCCAAAACCATCAGTTGTTTCAAAGGGGTCATGTAACAAAGATTATAGGGAAGACAGGCCACCATGAGTGTAGCTCTCATCCTATAACTACACTGCAGTAATTATTTAGTTAATTACACATAGCAGCATAACATAATACATTAGCAAACATTAGTCTCACTTTTTGGAGCCTCTATTCTGAATGACTTCGGTACAACAGATATGAGATCAATAATGGCACACGTGAGGCCGATAATTGAGTACTTTGAGTGAACGTGTGGAAAAATATCCAGCCATGTAAATAGTAACATAACTTTTAGAGATAGGAAGAGGATGAACTTAAAAGCTGGTCATACATTGACCAAAAGTGATGGTTGGCAAGAGTTAAGTTGGATGAAGTTCCCCCCCCCTGGCTATCTTGAGGTTATCTTGAGATGATTTCGGGGCTTTAGTGTCCCCGCAGCCCGGTCCTCAACCAGGCCTCCACCCCCAGGAAGCAGCCCGTGACAGCTGACTAACACCCAGGTACCTATTTTACTGCTAGGTAACAGGGGCATAGGGTGAAAGAAACATTGCCCATTGTTTCTCGCCGGCGCCCGGGATCGAACCCAGGACCACAGGATCACAAGTCCAGCATGCTGTCCGCTCGGCCGACCGGCTCCCATGCACAGGAAATTTTACTCCTTAACAAAGAATATGGGGTGCAAAGTTCTGGGGGATCAGGCAAAGACATGTGCTGTATGGATGAGTGATTGCAAAACAGTAAAACTTATAAGAATGAAAGAGCATCACAATTCATTTATACAATGCTGACATTACACACATGGGCTTTGCAGGCCAAGAAATCATACTAAACAAAGTATCTGAAAATAGTCTTTCAAAATTCCTTTGTAATTGCTGCATAATTAAAGAAAAAATCCCTCAGAAGTATATTTAATGCCCTTTCCAATGAACTGCATGTCATCTGTAGGAGAAATGTTATAATAATCAACCATCAAGTAGCATAATAATACATTATATAATTTGAAAAGAGAAATGGTACTTCACTCTTTAAGCTTTAATGAAAACTCCATATCTGCTTGACCTGATAATATTCTGGACATTTTGCATATTTTCAGAAACATGGTTAATTAGTGACGAAATTGCAAAAACCTTGATATATCTGAGAAAATATTGAGACCGAGTGATGGTGTGCGTGTTCCCGAGGAGCTCAGGGACATGAGTTCAATCCCATCCTATGGCTTCAATATTTTCTCACAATTAACATGAGTGTGTCCCCAGAAGATTGCAGAGAATTTAAGTCATAGAATGGGAACCAGGAGTAAGACACATCGTTATAATTGCACACAGATGAGCAGCAACATAATAATACAACTAATATAAACTAAAAGATGCCATCTCTTTCATTAATTTCCTTGAAGGTGAGCTAAGGTTATGAAAATGGCAGTGATATGTAATGACAGTAATGTGAACATAAAGTTCCAGAGGTTATTCTGTCAAATGACAAGATGAATTAGCGATGAAAGGATGTGGGACGAGTAAGTGGCAGAGTCACCAGTGTGTAGAAGTTTAGAGCAATGGTGAGAAACACATAGACCCAAGAAATAATCAAAGATGCTCAGAAGTAAGTTGAGGAATGCTAATAATTAATACTGTACATGAACATGTTGATGGACAGGTTAGACCAGATGTATTGTGGAAGCAAGGGATTCACACTTTTGTAAATAATAAACTACACAACATTGCCTTTTAGCTCTGGTAGGTACTGTACCAAGGGAAGCAAGTTAAGTTAGTAACAATAGCATTTAAGTTGACAATTTCATCTCTGCCAACTTTAATGAAGTTAGCTGATGTGTCAAAATGTCAAACAATTATACGTTACAATGTGAAAGCTGGGGTAGGCGTGGTTCAGAGGAAGTTTCACAATCCTCGGCATTAGGAAAGCTTGATGTGAAAGCTTAGGGGCTTGTAGTCAGTGGGAAATAGAAGGAAGGTAAATGTGTCATGAAACATAAAAATAAGGCAAAATATATACATAAAGGAAGCAGGATAGGAGGATGGGAAGGGTTGCCAACTTACCGCTCGTGAGTCTATCAAGGCGGTGGATGGTTCTGAGGTTCTTGAGATTGTACTCCTTGGCCAGGATGAAGACAACCGTGTTGTGTCGGTAGCGGCCGCACGGGTGCACCTGAACACGGGGACAACAACAGTCACCACCATCAGTGAGTGGGGGGCAGGGGAGAAGGTCTGGCCACAGCAGGACAGCCCACGGGCACGTCTACAACAGCCTCAGGGACATAGGCTACCTTTCTCAACTGTCAACTTCTTGACCATGAATCTCTTCAATCTTATTGTGCAAAATTCAGGTTTCTGTAGCTGACAGTGGATTGTTTGGTGTAAATAAGAATGAAATGATGGATTTCCCTTCCCCCTTCCCCCCCCCCCACAAAAAAAAAACACAGCACTTATTTTCACCAAACACGGAAAATGGTAGCCTTTGAACGACACGCTGTGGTATATAGAGGACCAGCTCTCTCACCAGCGTTACTTACGGGGAGGTGGCAAAGTCACAACCAAAATACTGGCAGGTGAGAACCTTTAGTAGTTAGGCTGGTTATCATAATCTAGACTAATTTTTCCCAGAAAGAGAGAATGCTAATTATATATGTAGCTTTTCACAATTACTGTATCTGATAAATAAATTAATAAAACTATATTACTATGCAAGGAAACCAAGCATTCCATATCTCTAGGAAAAACTAGCTTGAGTGATTTGTTTATATAATTTTTGGGGTGCTATAAGGTGTATTTTGGCACAGCTCCTATAGCTGATGTAAGAATGGTTGTGGTGCTGGGGGCAGTCACGACCAAATACAAACATGGTCTCAATTCTTAAGCATTTCACATTTTGCAATAATTATTCTTATTATGTCAGTTCAACAAATATTTAAAAAAGTTTCAAAATTTAAGAATTTCTGGATATTCTCAACGCATTATGATGCTGATCTCAGTGAATCACTTAAGAACCGACACTTTAGAAACTCCATGACATGTAGGTCCTACATACAAAAACAATAACAAGGACTGTAACTCCTTTAATTCAACTGTTAGGTGTATGATAGTTATGGGCTTCCTAGTTATAAAACAGTGATACACAGATTAGATACTTTTGGCAGAGTGCTTTACAGTGAGAATAAACTGGAAGCTCATAATGTAAGTGACTCGGAACAACACAGAGCTTACTGAACATGGAAAAGGACAAATGCTGAAAAAAAGACAATGCGATACTGAAGATGAAAAAAAACAAATTCTGTGGAAAGAGAAACAATCACAGCAGGAGAGAGAGACAAAAAAGTACAGAATAAGATCAGTGCATGTTGCAGTATGGGATAACCTGAGAAATGACAAATAAAAAAGATCCTGTAGTCAGCAAATTTTGATATTAAACACATGATGGAAGACAAAGAAAACGAACCAATTTTGCAGATAAAAGTGAAGGCAGTCTCAATAATCTTGGAAATGAGTAGCAGATGCATATGCAGTTGAGCAAAGAGGAGGCATAAATGTCTCCTATGAGAGTATGCAAAATGTTGAGGAGCAATGGGTGATGTCATGGTGGTCCCTCGTGCCAGTCTGAGCTAACCAGGCGCTGTGGCAATGGTAATGAAATAGAAAACCTATTATATCATAAAATTTCAGTGCTGCTACAAGTGTGTAAATTTTTAAACTATTAATGGAGTCTCCCTTTATAACTACAGTGTAAGTGCTGTACAGAATATGCTGTATTTTATATTGGCTCTTTAATGCAAGGTATATTGTTAAACAGAACATGTGATGGACTCTTGTGATGAGAAGTGTTCATTTAGGTCACTCTTAATTGCTGAGACTAAGTTTATTTTCTGTTCCTGCTGCAAGAAGGCTGACATCTACACTTTTGTGTATGTGCATGTCGACCTTATACTAGAAAAGTGTAAGTCTAAAACTTGCCAACATGTTTATCCATGCGACATCAAGAAGACAAAGTCAAGATTGGTCACATAAATGTCTGTGAGCACTTATAGTCCTAGTGACATAAAAGCAATTTAGAAGTCCTCAGATTTCAAAAATCTTTTTTTGAGGTTTTAGAGTGTGTAAAGTTAATTTTTACATGAATAATGGCATGTGGGTGGCAGAAAAAGCCCTGTTGTTTGAAGTACACAGGAGCTCTCTGGAGCTCTCTCATCATTAGTATAGTACCTCGGAAAGTTTCATTTAAAGACTGACTGACCTTACTTACAGTTCTTTTCTTTCAGGTCATGAAGCCCACCAGCCCTGTAGGGTCAAAACTTGAGTCAGCTAAACCCAACAGAAGTCATCTGGGGTCAAGTGAAGAATATGATAATGAGGTTGTAATGAAGTCTATCATAGCTAGCTTCAATTAATGAGTGAGGATTTTAGAGGTAAAGGATGTTAATGCTCGACAAGATGAGACACTTCGAGGTTGTGGTGGATAATGTTCATCACTGATGGGGTTGTTCAGAGTTGACTGTTGATGTAGTGTCTAAGTATGACTGTTGGTTGATATCTGGTTGAAGGGGTTCTGGGAGTTCTTCTACTCCCCAAGCCCGGCCCGAGGCCAGGCTGGTGTGGATCAGGTTGACTATTGATGAGTGATATTGGCTATTAATTTTGTGAGTAATGTTGATGTGATATTGTTAACTGCCGATATGATGGATGAGACTCACTTTCAATGTGATGAAATAAACTGACTGCTGATGTGGTGAATGAGGTTAACTGTTAAGTGATGGATTTTATTGCCTGATGAAATGTTGGATATCTTGATATCCATCTTGAGAGTTGAAGCAATGGATTATTGACTACCGATGTGATGAATAAGGTTGATAGCTGATGAGACACATGAAGTTGATCACTGATGTGGTGGATAAGGCTGATTAGTGATGTTTTGGATAAGGTTGATTATTCACATTGGGGGGGGTGGGGGGGGGGAGTGTTAATTGATGTTGTAGATAATACCGACTGCTGATATGGTCAGCAAACATTAGTAAGCTTGTAGCCTACTGACTCCAGGAAACAGAAGTAAGTATTTATGTGGGTGATTAAATGGGGGGGGGGGGAAACAAAAGATGGAGAATGAAGGCAAATTAAAGTGGATGCAAAGTCTATACATTCGTCTGATAAAGATGCAGCTGGTGGACTACCAGCGAAACCATCTTCATCACCAATGCACGCCTGGTTGTCCAAACTGACACACTTGATGAGCACAATGCCTTAAGATCCTTGAACATGAAATTTCTGAACATTTTATGAGGATGAGAAATATGATTTTTTTTGTTTAATTACAGTACTATTAAACTGGAACAATGGTTCAACATTTTATTAAAAAATAATAGTAAACTGTTTATTCACTGTTTACATGTTATTATATATACTGTATATATATATAATGTATATATATATATACAAAATATATATATATATATATATGTACGGCTAACAGTTTTACATTCGTCCCGTTGACAGAATCAGCTAATGTACTGTCTTGGCATAGATAAATATTTAATTATTGTGTATCTTCAAAGATATTATTTGTCTGTAATAACACGTCAAAGGATGGTCTAATCCACCTGCTTGTTTTGTGTGGCTTGCAACTCGGTGATGTATAGAGTACTGTATAAGGGACAAGGACCAAAACTACAAAATCTGCAACTCTCACAACAAACGGGGGTGCAACTGTGCAAAACTACAAAAAAAACAGGAGGTTTAACTGGAGAGAATTCAAGAGATAATAGGAAAACTATTTAAGAATCACTCGTGCCAGGGATAACGCATGTTACCATCTTATTTAGAAACCATATACAAAAAATACCATTGGATTTTTTTTTAAAGTTATTCTTCCTTGGCCTGCTATGTTGGGCCAGGTCCACTCTGGAAAATAACGCTGAAACAAACATAATAAATAGCAAATAAAAGGTGCAAATGTATGCTTCAATGGTACCTAAAATACAATGGTTATGTAATCATGCTATAGCCAATGTGGTAAAAAAAGAAATAAAAAAGGGCCAAAAATGGGGTCGGGCAGCCAATCGCATGTGTGCCAGGAATGGGGGTTACAACAACGGAGGTGCAAAGGATCCAATTCAAAAAGGGGAGGTTTCAAAGCTAATAAAGGGAGGTTGAATGCATCGCAACTTGATAACAAAATTTACAGGAGTGGCTGAAAACAGCTCCATGACATAAGGACCAAACTAATTGTTCCTTTAGGGATTCAGGAAACTGGTAATACAAAATAAAGGTCAAATTCACGCAAGGAAATTTACAAAGGATGACCAATATTCAAAGCTGAGGCACGGCAATACAATATAAATACAAATCTAAAATTGAAGCGTAGGATGTGTAGGGGAGGAGGAACAATGGAAGGTATTAAATATATATTTATATATATAGTACTGGAAGTTGCAGTGGTGGAGGCTGTTGCCAAGGTGGATTTATTATGTAAAATATTGTACTTTACAAATGGAATTTTGTCTTATTTGTTTATTCCTTTAATAAAAGCCGACGCATAACTTATAAACGACCAATGATGTTTTTGAGCGCGCACCTAAGCCATTAATTGGGAGGGTATACTTCACACGGTTTAGTTTGCAACTCCACCTGAGGGATGGCTGCGCTGTTAGAACGTCTATGCTCTGTAGGACGTTGCGGAGCTTCCCAAGACTTGGAGTGCCGCAGAGAGCTATGTGCTCGTGATGCAGACAGTAAAGTGGCACGCGAACGAGAGTGCCTGGTTACCCCGTGGCCTGAAAAGTGCTGACCACACCATGCCGGGGCGGGGGTCCTGAAGACCCACCCCTGCTACACTAGGCAGGCAGCTAGCTAGGTAGCCGGGTTAAAGCTCGCCGCTACTACTCACCGGCAGGGAACATGGCTTGTCGAGAACGACCAAATCCTCATCTAAATGTAATATTGCAATGTTTCGCGCTAACACCGGCGTCTCATGTCTGCAATAGCAATCACAACACGACTGCGTTTAGCATCTATATTAACAATATATTAGAAAAACATAGGCACTGATCTATTATGTGAATGCATAACGCGAGCTATTGAAAATGCTGCGGACGACTGCAACACACACCCAGTTAAGCGGCGACGGCCACCAACACTCTGAAAACACAAGTTTAGCAACAACGGGAGGGAAGGCCCCCCTCACCGTACCCTCCACCACCTCGCTCCAAAACCCAGATCCATTACAGTTGGTAGTGTTATTGACATGTCTACTTGAAACCCAGAATCAATCAGTAAGTCCATCCAGTTTTTAATGGATAATTAATGATACTTTATAACTTTGCTAGCCTATTAGTAAAGGTTGAGTCATTTTTTAACATGGCAGATCACACGCTTCGTTCCTGAGAGAGATAATCCCTCTCTGTACACAATGGCTAATGGATAATAGATAAGTTTTGACCATGATAATTGAGCAATCCTATAAAAGTTTATAAGAAATTCCATGGCCACAAAAAGTCTCTAAAGCAGGCAAAAATCCAAGGTGGCTGCCTGTGGGTAGAGGAGCATGCGTGCGTGCTACTGAAGAGTGGGTTCGTGATGCACAGTCAGGGAGGATTTTGCTGCAGGGGCAACGCACAGGATCTGGGACTGAGCGAAGTGCTGGCGGAAATTCAGCCCCCACTAAGACCTCACCTCACGTGACCTATCTATTCACTGTTCTTGATTAGCCAATTTGTTACTGGAACTGCTTGTTATACAGCAGATTTGTGGATTAATTTTTACCAAGTCAATAAATTCGATCATTGAATACTGAATGATAAGATTTGCAATCAGGAGTGAGGTGAGACGTGGGGTTTTGGGTGTGAGTCGTCTACATCTATATGGCAGTGGGGGCAGGTTTGTGAACGACTTACAGGAATGGAGGCAGGCTTGTCCACTACTACCAAGTCTTCGTCCACGTGTACGATGGGGATCTGCTCGGCCGTCACGGGCACCTCATGTCTGAAACCAGTGATGCTCACACCTGCAGTTCACTCCACATGCACCCACATTGGTTCCGTGGGTGGTGAAGTGATACATGATTCTTTCTTACACACACACACACACACACACACACACACACACACACACACACACACACACACACACACACACACACACACACACACACACACACACCTTGCAGGTTTAGACATGCAACTCAATGGGCCCCAGAACTGAAGGACAAGAGCTACGAGGAGAAGTTAGAAGCATTAAATATGCCAAAACTTGAAGATAGAAGAAAAAGAGGCAATGATTACTACATACGAAATAGTAACGGGAATCGATAAAATTAATAGGGAAGAATTCCTGAGACCTGGAACTTCAAGAGCATGAGGTCATAGATTTTAACTAACTAAACAAAGCTGCAGAAGAAATATATGAAAATTCACTTTCGCAAACAGAGTGGTAGACGGTTAGAACAAGTTAGGCGAGAAGGTGGTGGAGGCCAAAACCATCAGTAATTTCAAAGTGTTATATAACAAAGAGAGCTGGAAAGACGGGACACCACGAGCATAGCTCTCATCTTGTAACTACACTTGGGTAATTATACACACACACGGTACCTCGCGGCTGAGTGGACAGCGCTTGGGGGTTGTAGTCCTAAGGGCCTGGGTTCGATTCCCGGCTGAGGCGGAAACAAATGGGTAGAGTTTCTTTCACCCTGATGTACCTGTTCAACTAGCAGTAAATAGGTATCTGGCAGTTAGACGGCCACTGCAGGCTGCTTCCTGAGGATGTATGCGCGTTTGTTAGAGAGAAATATATGTAGTAGATATAATAGAGTAAATATAGATTGGTTAGAGAGGCGGGGTCCAAGAGCTAATAGCTCGATTCTGCAGACACAGATAGTAAATTCACACACACACACACGCTCTGGACCAAAGAGCCAAAGCTCAACCCCTGCAAGCACAAATAGGTGAGTACACACACACACACACACACACACACACACACACACACACACACACACACACACACACACACACACACACACACACACACACACACACACAGAGGCATTTTTTGACATTCAGACTCAGTTGCTAAATCAACATATGACATTCCTACATTAAAGCGAACCTCAAATGCAGAATCTGCCCATATTATGTAAAGAACACTGCCTTGTACCTAGATATTAGTATATACTTTTTTGTACAATTAAGTACAAAATTATCTGTATTGCATAATTTGTATAAATTATTAACATTATTTTGTACTGTCAAATCAATTACTGTATATTATTAAGTTTGATAAAATCACTGTAATCTTTTTTTTAAATCTTCTGAGTATTATACATTACTTTCCTAATTAAATGTGACAAAAAGGAATAACATAATCATCAAGTTATTAAAATGAATAACATCATGAACAATAAACAACATAAACCATATAACTTTACAATCATTTCATATTAGCAAAATATTCCCAAAGTAACAGCCATGACAGGGCTTCGTTACATGGTTTACTTCCCTCAAACATATTTTTTCCTCAATTTCAAGATCTAAAACCGTCATGTGCACAAATTATTTTTATAACTTTAATCTAAAATTGTTGAAAATATGACTTGAAGTTAAAAAATTTTTTAACCCTGTCGTAGCTCAGTTGATTAAGGCAGTGTCTGGGATGCTCCTGGACGCAGGTTCGAATCCTCGTCACGGCCCTTGTGGAATTGTTCATGACTTGAAGCCTTTGTAAAATCTGATTATAATCTAGAAAGATCTCATCAAATATGACATTGAAAAGCTGAATATGACCTGAAAGCCTTTAAAAAAAAGGATTTAAGCTAAATAGGTGATGCTTTCCAATGATTGGAGTCTGAATATTGAACTAAGAGGGTGATAACAGTGTTAAGGAAAGCCAGAGGCAGGTGGCGGAGACATGTACGGTACCTGTACGGTACATGTACGATACCTGTGGACGATGTTGGCCAGGAGGTCGTTGTGTTTGAGCCTGTAGTCTGTGTCCACCTTCTCATAGTTGACGGTCAGCGTGCCACTCTTAATACATCGCTCCTGTCGATACAACTTTCTATTAATGACAGCCTAGTTAATTAAAACTAAATCAAAGCAAATCTTAAGGCAAATGCATTACTAAATTTTTTTTTATATTATGTTGTTAACTGGTAGTTATTTTTCGCTGGTTATGAAGGATTTATTCCTTTATATTGCCATGCCCATTACCCAATATGCCCAAGAAAGAAGACAATTCCCAGGAGGGAAACAATGCCTGACTGTCGTACAATGAACACAGCTTCAACATTCACTGTTACATCAACACAGCTTAGCAGAGTATCCCAATAAAATATACACACACACATTGATAAACAGCTATAATTCATCATTTTCGTTTTGTTGTTCATGGAGAAAACCCATTACACAATTAAGGTGTTATATATTCTATTACTGGATCAGAAATATGAAACCGGTTGCTTTAAACTCGGCTCGGGTGAGTGAAATGGGTTACTAACAGCAAGCTGGAATATACAATTGATTGGAACAACCTGTAGTAAAACTAAACTAATAGACAATACAAATAGACAAATTTACGCCGGGGGGGGGGGGGGTGGAAATAATGCTACAATGAACGATAGTGATAATGTTGACCCCCAGACCCCCACCTACGCTAACTTTGGGAAAATTACGTTGTTTTAAGAATGAATTGACACTGAATCAAAAACGTGACTGGGACATGTTATGTCGGCTGGGATTGGCCAGGTATGCCTGGGGGGGGGGGCGAGGGGGAGATGGCGTAACGATTAACAAATGTTGGTGAGACGTTATTATAACATCACATGAGCCAATATTGATTACAGGGAACTGTGAGGAGAAAGCACCAAGTCATCACGACTATATGGCACTTGGAAGGGGTCAGAATAAGGATTGGGATGGGACGGGGTGAAGGGGGGGGGGAAGGTGTAAGGTACTGTTCAACACTAAAGTAACTTCTCAGGTTCAACCAGCAAACTAGTCAGAGGAGCGTTACATCAACGTCTAGGATGTTCAATGTTGTTCAATGTTGGTCAACGTCTAGGACACCTACTGGGAGATTTATGTCTACACTCAGGAACTTTTTTTAATTTTGATCATTAAACTCAAGGACTCGAGGACTCTCACTCAAGGACCAGCCTCTCACTCGAGGACCAGCCTCTCACTCAAGGACCAGCCTCTCAACTCGAGGACCAGACATACTACTCACGTATTCCTCGGCGGGATGGGCGCGGAACTCCTTGGCGAAGACGTCGAGGATCTTCTCCCCGACCCAGCGGCCCTTGGTGAAGGTGGTGAAGGTGAAGTAGTACGGGTAGACCTTCCTCAGACCTGCCGGAGAGGCATCATCAGTGGTAGGTGTTGGCTCAGACTTCCCCTGTGTACCCTGTGTTGATGTTCCCCCCCCCCCCCCTTACTTGTCTTGCTTCGAGAGAGAGAGAGAGAGAGAGAGAGAGAGAGAGAGAGAGAGAGAGAGAGAGAGAGAGAGAGAGAGAGAGAGAGAGAGAGAGACAGACAGAGAGAGAGAGAGAGAGAGAGAGAGAGAGAGAGAGAGAGAGAGAGAGAGAGAGAGAGAGAGAGAGAGAGAGAGAGAGAGAGAGAGAGAGAGAGAGAGAGACAGAGAGAGACAGAGAGAGACAGAGAGAGAGAGAGAGAGAGAGAGAGAGAGAGAGAGAGAGAGAGAGAGAGAGAGAGAGAGAGAGAGAGAGAGACAGAGACAGAGACAGAGAGACACAGACACACAGAGACAGACAGAGAGAGACAGAGCCACGAGGGACCCCCCAACGAGAGAGTGAGTGAGTGAGAGTGGTTGTCATCACTTGACACGTATGATAGCCGTCAGTAGGCTGTCAGGTTATCGAGCTGTGACATCAACGCTGGACTCTCCAACTGTCTACTAGTTGCCATTTTATTATTGCTCCTGTCTAACTAATATTACCCCCCCCCCCCCCGAGCGTCACTCCGATAAGCAGACATTACCCAGCACCGCTCAACCGGGCAGACATCAACCTCGTCACAGCTGCGGCACCTGGCAGTGCTAAGCCGGCAGTGACAGGCGCCCCCGAGACAGTGAGTGTCTCCTGTCACAACCTGTGATCGTACCGCTGTTTACTCAGCCATTAGTGACGTCACAGACTTGTTTGTAAACAACCTCAGCGCCACTTTTAAAACTCGCTTTACTTTTTCTTGTTGTATTTCGGGGTGACAGATGCATCTGGCTCCACCATCTGGCTTGTGGGGAGAAGGGGGAGAGGGGGGGGGGATGGGAGAGAGAGAGGGAGGGTGAGAGAGTTTAATAGGGGAAGGGGGAGCAATTATCTATTAACTGCTCATTACGCTAGTAGAATTGTACTCTCGCAGTCTGGTCTGTGGCCAGCCCTCTCTGGTATCCCGTCTGTGGCCAGCCCTCTCTGGTGTCCCGTTTGTGGCCAGCCCTCTCTGGTGTCCGGTCTGTGGCCAACCCTCTCTGGTGTCCGGTCTGTGGCCAGCCCTCTCTGGTGTCCGGTCTGTGGCCAGCCGTCACTGGTATCCCGTTTGTGGCCAGCCCTCTCTGGTATCCCGTTTGTGGCCAGCCCTCTCTGGTATCCCGTCTGTGGCCAGCCCTCTCTGGTGTCCCGTCTGTGGCCAGCCCTCTGGTATCCCGTCTGTGGCCAGCCCTCTCTGGTGTCTGGTCTGTGGCCAGCCCTCTCTGGTGTCCCGTCTGTGGCCAGCCCTCTCTGGTGTCCCGTCTGTGGCCAGCCCTCTCTGGTGTCCCGTCTGTGGCCAGCCCTCTCTGGTGTCCCGTCTGTGGCCAGCCCTCTCTGGTGTCCGGTCTGTGGCCAGCCCTCTCTGGTGTCCGGTCTGTGGCCAGCCCTCTCTGGTGTCCGGTCTGTGGCCAGCCCTCTCTGGTGTCCGGTCTGTGGCCAGCCCTCTCTGGTGTCCCGTCTGTGGCCAGCCCTCTCTGGTGTCCGGTCTGTGGCCAGCCCTCTCTGGTGTCCGGTCTGTGGCCAGCCCTCTCTGGTGTCCGGTCTGTGGCCAGCCCTCTCTGGTGTCCGGTCTGTGGCCAGCCCTCTCTGGTGTCCGGTCTGTGGCCAGCCCTCTCTGGTGTCCCGTCTGTGGCCAGCCCTCTCTGGTGTCCGGTCTGTGGCCAGCCGTCACTGGCAACTGTCCATAATCCTAATTTCCCCCGGAAAACGACCCGTCAAAGCGTTGAAACAACCAGGTACCCATTCACTGCTGGGAGAACAGAGGCGTACAGTTAAGAATTGGCGCCCAGTCGATCCTCCCCGGCCAGGATACGAACCCCCAGACCAAATCGCTCACGAAGCGCGGGTTGAGTGATTTACCATTACGCCAAGAGGACTTGTCGCATACTCGTTCCAAAGAGTGCAGTTTAAGCTCTAGGCGACTCGAACCCTGGATCCCCCCCCACCCCGTGTGTGTGTGAAAGGTCCATGCTCTACCGACCAAGCTACAGTTTACTAATGTTTACAGTTTGTTTACTATTTTGTTTACAGATTAAGTGTTTTGAGTTAGTTGCGGTGGTTTATAGGCTTCACTGAATATATTTTGCTATCTCGCCTGGCATGATGGAGCGAACGATATCTTATACGAGATATCAAATTACAAATATAAATACTGGCAAAATATCACTTTTGAAAAGCGTAGTTTACCGTTGCCCAGTAAAAACAACAAATTATATTTGTTTATAATGTTTGAATGCGGCATTTTTTTCTTGCCCCGCTCCTGTGCCGGGTAAGTTACGGGCTCACCATAGGCCGTGCTACTTGCCCCGCTCCTGTGCCGGGTAAGTTACGGGCTCACCATAGCCCGTGCTACTTGCCCCGCTCCTGTGCCAGGTAAGTTACGGGCTCACCATAGCCCGTGCTACTTGCCCCGCTCCTGTGCCAGGTAAGTTACGGGCTCACCATAGCCCGTGCTACTTGCCCCGCTCCTGTGCCAGGTAAGTCCACTACGGGCTCACCATAGCCCGTGCTACTTACCTCGCTCCTGTGCCAGGTAAGTTAAGGACTCACCATAGCCCGTGCTACTTGCCCCGCTCCTGTGCCAGGTAAGTTACGGGCTCACCATAGCCCGTGCTACTTGCCCCGCTCCTGTGCCAGGTAAGTTACGGGCTCACCATAGCCCGTGCTACTTGCCCCGCTCCTGTGCCAGGTAAGTTACGGGCTCACCATAGCCCGTGCTACTTGCCCCGCTCCTGTGCCAGGTAAGTTACGGGCTCACCATAGCCCGTGCTACTTGCCCCGCTCCTGTGCCAGGTAAGTTACAGGCTCACCATAGCCCGTGCTACTTGGAACTTGTTCCGAGTAGCTGAATCTATAACAACAACAATGTTAGAACAAGGCATAACTTAACTAGTTGTTGACCCGCAAGCTAAGGCCGCCCAAAAACCACATCTAACTTCTGCTGATTTCAATCAAGAATATGGAAGTTGAAGACGACTTGGCCTAAAAAACATACATTTATGCTTTATTGAGATTCTGTAAATGATAATATGTTAAATTATCATCATTTATCTGAATAATGTGAAGTTTGCATATTGTAAATCCACAAGAGTGTATAAGATCATCAATTGTAACCCATTTTCTGTAGTACCAAACCATTTTCCGTAACACAAAACCATTTTCTGTAACACAAACCCATTTTCTGTAATACAGAACCAGTTTTCTGTAATACAATGCTCACCATTTTCTATGTAGTATGAAGTTTCGTTGTATCGCTCCTCTGAGAAGCCTGGTCTCTTGGCCTTCAGTGCCTTCGTCTCAAGTTTGGCCTGCAACCCAAGAAAACACACGTTAGTAACAACACGAATGATTCAGACAGACTTGTACACATTCAGACTTATACACACTCAAGACTTAAATAACACAATTACCTCCGTTTTTTTGCCTCTTGAGAAGCTGGTCTTAAAAAGCTTCAGGTACGGTTTATTTCGTTTTATTGGTTATTATAACACTAAGCATGCTTAACAGGTGAAGAGTTACATGTTAACTAAGACATGTACCTGGCCGTGTCAAGATGCCAGGTGCCCCCCCCCCCCGCCCTACCCGTGCTATCTGAGGGGAAAGGTGAGAGGTAATTAAAGACTTAGAACTCACACAGGTGAAAAGCTCTGTTGTTTTTGTTAATAGGGAGAACAGAGGTAAACAACAGATACAAGTATTTAAGACAACAGGAGTCCAGGAAGGTGTTCACAATAATTCCCACTTACCTGCTCACCAAATAATTCAGCGATAATTAGCGACAAAAAATTAGCTAGCCTAACAAACCAAGTTACTTCTCATCCCAGGTTCTTTAATAGCGGGATACAATACACAATCAAATCTGGCCATAGAAGGAAATCAACATTTAAAGGATCTGGGAGTACAGATGTCTGACGACATAACGTTTAGACAGCATAACTAAGCAAATATTGCGTCTCCACGAATGTTCAACATTCTCCCAGCGAGAATAAGAAACATTGCCGGAACAAACGTGGAAGTTTTCCAGAAAAACTAGATAGTTTTCTTCAAGGAGTGCCGGACCAACCGGGCTGTGGTGGGTATGTGGGCCTGATGCGGGCCCACAGCCTAGTGGACCAAGCTCGACCGTCACATTTAATTGTTACTATCAAAATAAGCAGAAATGCCACACGCTGTCGCCATCTTTTTTAAAGTTGAGCAAAATGGTATGCAATAAATGCTTAAAATTGCAGGAAAATTGTTCGAGAATAATGCTTTCATTTGTATGTGTTCCGCTGACTTCGCTAAACAACAGCCAACGTGTTTGATCCTGCTAAATTTAGCGACTCTTTGACTACTCTAGCTAAGCCAAATGCAATTTTCCGCCATAATCAGGCGCTAAAGCTAACCCTCCCCCACACTGCTCAACTGATTAAATGAGCTTCCTTGTCTCTCCTCACATAAAAAAACTCACATATTTCATCCAGGTGTGTATTAACAGTAAGGAAAATATTGCTTCCGCTGCGTTTGCTCAGTGTAGCGCAACTGGCAGCTGAGGCTCTTGAGAAGCGAGCAGTTTTCCGCTAAGCTTTATCAGCCTCTCCAAACAAACACTCCGGTCTCTTAACGAGTATAAACATGCTCAAGTCATGCATAGTTAATTATGAATCTTGGCATTATGTAAACCCATAACTCTTGGTGATAAAAATAGTCAGGACAATTCATAAAGGAGAGAGAGAGAGAGAGAGAGAGAGAGAGAGAGAGAGAGAGAGAGAGAGAGAGAGAGAGAGAGAGAGAGAGAGAGAGAGAGAGAGAGAGAGAGAGAGAGACAGAGAGACTTGTCTCGTCTGCTTTGCACCAATATAAGGTTTAATTAAGTAGTTTATAGACTCTCTCTGGAGCTCTTGTGGTCGATCAACACATTGAGATCATTTCCTGTTGTTCCGATAATCGCTGCGTTAAGATTCGTGATTGGTGACATCTTATTTTTGTGTTATCTCCACCACTTCTCACCCCCTTCTTCACCCCCTTCTCCTCCCCGCCCCCCTGTGTACTCATCTTACCACCAACAGCTAAAAATCCCCACTACAAACCTCCAACATGGCGGACGCGAGGACGTGTTTAGCATTTTTCCCGCCTTTCCTGCCGGGGACGTTCAGAGGAGCGCCAGGAATTAAGAGAAGGGGTGACGCACGCGACTCGGAAAGAAGGAAGAGTGATGGGGGAAGGAAATGGAGACAAAGGGAAGGAAAGAGGACAATTTTAATAAGTCTTCCGCCCCCCTTCCCATGGCCAGTGAGGGGAGGGGAGAGGAGGGGGGGAGAGCCGGTGTGTGATAGCGAGCCACTCTCGCCTCTGTGACTCCCGACCACAAGGACTGGAGTTCTGTGCGTCGGGGCCCGACTTTTATGGCGGGAACATGGACCTTCTGTAGGCCGCTTGATCCTTCATATAGCTTTATATTACCCCTTGTTATTCTTGGCCCCGACGACCAGTCACTGCTATACGACGACTAGTCACTGCTATACGACGACTAGTCACTGCTATACGACGACTAGTCACTGCTATATGACGACTAGTCACTGCTATATGACGACCAGTGACTGCTATACGACGACCAGTGACTGCTATACGACGACCAGTGACTGCTATACGACGACCAGTGACTCCTATACGACGACCAGTGACTGCTATACGACGACCAGTGACTCCTATACGACGACCAGCCATCGCTTCATATTTCACCACTTATTTCACAGCCGACTACCACAGATATATATATATATATATATATATATATATATATATATATATATATATATATATATATATATATATAGGAAAAGGACACAAAGTTACCTATAGTCAGCGAGGGGGGAGGAGTGTGTCAACGGTTGTAAATCCCCAGTTATTTGTGCTACTGTTACTTTAATGTAGCGTTGTAACAACGTAAATACGTTAAAAAAAACTGTTGTGGTGACATCGTTGTAATTCAAATTCAAATACTGGATTCATCAATGTTTCTGAATTTATAATTGGGTAACTTTACACACAGGATGGTTAGGGAGGAGTTTTGTTCCTTTGCTCGTAAGGACATTCAACTCGGAGGCAGTTCAGTGGGACAGGAGTTATTTTTCTCCGTAAAATAAACAGTTAGGCTTCCTCTACGTGAAATAAAGAGAAGTTAGGCTTGGCCTCCATAAAATAAACAGTTAGGCTTCCTCTACGTGAAATAAGGAGAAGTTAGGCTTGGCCTCCATAAAATAAACAGTTAGGCTTCCTCTACGTGAAATAAGGAGAAGTTAGGCTTGTCCTCCATAAAATAAACAAAGTTAGCCTTCCTTTCCATGAAACAAAGAAGATTTAGGCTTCCTCTTTAAATAAGCCTGTAATTAGCTGATACTGTAACTATAAGGTGTGAAGGTTAGATAGAATTGTTTATATAATAATCAAAGACGAGGTCTGATAAAGACCTTTTGTGCCCTCTATTATAATCCTTTTTTGCGCTACCGCTCACAGGATGAGTATGGGGTGCACAATAAACTAGCCGCCTCTGGTGGCAACAATCATCAATCTTTAAATAAGCAGGAGTGATTATTATTTCACCAAACTTGCAACTGACCAGAGGATCTTTGCTAATTGCGATTTTGAAAATATTAAGAAAACAGAGGGAGGTGGGGGAGGGGGGAATACAGGGACACCGCCTTGAGACTTTTACAAGACTGCTGCGTGAAGATGGCGTCGGGCGAGACGTTGGGAGAGGAAGAGCGCCAAGCGTCACCCCCTATTTCCCAGTCCCCCCCCCCCCCATCTCCAGGTGTTCCCCCATGTTAATTAACAGGTGGGCCAGGCCAATGCCAAGTTTCCAGGCCTCTCATTTCACCAATTTAACTATTACCGCCACATTTAAACTCTATAACTACCATTCCGACATATTTACGTCCTATTACGCATCCCATTACCGATGAACGGTAGTATATTACATACACAGGGAGTGATGTACCGGAGAAATCTTAGCCTATCATTATCCTCTACCCGAGTTTCAATAAATATATATATACAGTAGGTGGTGTTTTAACCGTGTGATGTGTGAGACAGCTGCCACACGCTGCCTCCGCCGCCACAATGTATAATTAACGGTACTGAAATAGCCTAGCTATTGAGACGTGTTGTTGGGAATGGTGTAAGGTTGAAGGGGGCCGCCTCCATCACAAAGGTATGTTCATATGTGTAAAACTATACACATATGTGTAAAAGGACACGCATTTATACATGCAAAATTATTATGCACACCGATGTGTTGAAATGTCTAAACTGTTATTATTTAACAATAAAATACAACAAATGAAATATCTCTATTATTCAACTCGAAAAATGACTCGTGGAGTTTTTAATTTTGAAATGAAGAATGATTGAATTATAATTGATCTCGCATCGTTACAAGGCCACTGATGGATTGAACTGAATAACTCGTATAATCACTTACTATTGACCACCATTCACAACTAACTAGCCAATCACCACCATTCACAACTAACTAGCCAATCACCAACATTCACAACTAACTAGCCAATCACCAACATTCACAACTAACTAGCCAATCACCAACATTCACAACTAACTAGCCAATCACCACCATTCACAACTAACTAGCCAATCACCACCATTCACAACTAACTAGCCAATCACCAACATTCACAACTAACTAGCCAATCACCACCATTCACAACTAACTAGCCAATCACCAACATTCACAACTAACTAGCCAATCACCAACATTCACAACTAACTAGCCAATCACCAACATTCACAACTAACTAGCCAATCACCAACATTCACAACTAACTAGCCAATCACCAACATTCACAACTAACTAGCCAATCACCACCATTCACAACTTGATACAATTGATTAAAAATCTTAAAAAAATAAAATAAAGGTTTTTCACATTTGGCGGGAATAAGAACCTACTCAAGACAAAACTTGCTCTAAATAATCTCTTGCCTGTTGTTTTCCCCCACTTTTGAGATTAGTTTCTGCATCTATAAAAAACATTTTAATACAACACAAGGAATGTAGTAATTACGAACAGTTCCTCATTAATGTAAACAGGTGGTGATACGATGACGTCATTGAGTTTGCAAACGCGACACCAGTTCAAACAGCCTTATTTCCTGACAGTTTTATGTCCTCCAAAGCTATTTCCATTCCCCGACAGTCGTGATTTATCTCAAAGTGTATCCAGCGACAAGTATTTTCTCTCCGACGAAGCAAGTTGTCACCGTCAATGCTTAATATTACAGAAAAAAGGCGCCAAGTTCCACCAAAAACCAATGATGCAGGACGCCCGTAGCTCGTCAACTTGGATTTTTTTTTTCACACGTCAGTCGAGTTTGTGGGTGTTGGGGGACGACGATGGTGTAATCAGGGGTCCCTGGTGAAGGACCAAACGACGGGAATTGAAATCGACAGCGGCAGTGAATACAAACGACGTCATTCGGTCTTCATTATCATACAGCGGGCAGGTCATTATGGCGGGAACCGGAGGTGGCGCGTCAACCAAGCCCGTTCCCGCCAATTTCCTATGTCTCGTCGCGCCCTTCACTAATGTCATTTTCGTTTTAAATTTATAGACAACTCCACAGGTTGAACTCCTGATTTAACATAACACAGCGTTCAGGCACACACGCATGCACGCATGAACGCGCACAACGTAAAACCAGCCTAAAGCCTACGCCTTTTAAAACCGAAACCTAAAATGTTGAAGTTTTTAGGTTTACCACAAGACTGGGACGGAAAATAAGATAAATGGGGTATGAGATGCTAAGAGAAGTGAACCTTACGTAGATGGGGAACGAGCAGAACCAGATGATAACCGGATAACAACATAGAAGATACAAGACTGTGTTTACAAGCGGGAACACAACGCCATGAGGTAGATAGGAAGCAAGGAACGGTTTCCCATCAATGTTGAGGTAGAGGGCAAGAGTGCCCACAGGGGAGGGAGTCAGCTGGGGAATGTGTACTCTACCACAAGGGACCACAACCACACCCCAACCACAACCACACCACAACCACAACCACAACCACAACCACACCCCAACCACAACCACAACCACACCACAACCACACTCCCCATACAATATAAATTGATCCAGAATTAAGATGTAACACGGTGAATGCCTAAAGACTTTTTTTGAGCCAAGGTGAGGGAGTTGTGGAAATGGAAAACGAATTGTGAGTTATAGGATGTGTGTGTGCATGTGTATGGAGGTGATTCCCGAAGACAGAGAGATAAGGATGATGATACGCCCCCCCCTCTCCCTTCCCCCCCTTTATCTTTCCCTACCCCCTCTACCTCTCGCAATATACTTCTCACGAAAACCTGCGAAACATGGAAAGGAAAGAGAGTAGACGGTAGCAAGAAGGAAGAGTGGGATATGAGAGAGAAATGGGTAGGGGGTGCGAAAGAGAGGAGGGAGGGTGGGGAGAGAGAAGAAGAGAGGGGGAAATATGAGGGGGGGGGAGTAAAGTGCCAAGTCATTACGACAATATAGCACATGGAAGGGGTCACGATAAGGGGGGGTGGGGTAAAGGAATGGTATCCAACCACTTGTGGACGGTCGGGGGGATTGAACGCCGACCTGCATGAAGCGAGACCGTCGCTCTACCGTCCAGCCCAAGTGGCTGGGGGTCAGGGCTGAGGGAGGAGGAGGAGGAGACAGATCAGCGCCTCCCGGCACAAAACAAATGACAGTAAACAGTTTACAGGCGGCGGCGGCCGACCAGATATTTATTATTCATTAACACCTGAGGGTTCCCCTCCCCTCCCCCCCTCCCCTCCCCCCCCCATCCATCACCAGACGAAAATATCTGGAAAAGAGCGGTAAAAATTGGTAATGGTTTATGTACTACTACATGAGTTTATAGTGTGTAATGGGAACTACATGAGGGGGGGGGGTGGAGAGAGAGAGAGAGAGAGAGAGAGAGAGAGAGAGAGAGAGAGAGAGAGAGAGAGAGAGAGAGAGAGAGAGAGAGAGAGAGAGAGAGAGAGAGAGAGAGAGAGAGAGAGAGAGAGAGAGAGAGAGAGAGAGAGAGAGAG